CCATTTCTTCTTACCTCTTTGGATTCCTTTATGTAACAAGCTCCAGCCATTCTTGTCTACCATGTCCACATCAGCTTTATGACTGACCAGAGTGGCAGCAATGCTCTCCAGCTGCCGTGAAAGGGCTAAATCTAAGGCAAGGTCTCCATTTTGATCCACTTCATTCAGCCTCCCAGGTAGCTACACAGAGAAGTTTGTAAGTAAGCATCCAGACAATGGAAAATACAATGGATTTTGATTTATTTCACTTAATCTTATATACCATCTCTTATACAAATGCCAAATCTTAATACCTGACATAGCTTACTCCCCAAATTCAACTTTATTCACAAACCGCTGTCAAGCTTCAGGCACATGATTTCAGGGAGCACAGAAAGAACAGATTAACAGGACAGATGCAAACAACATGCAGGACTGTCAAGGATCACAGTGGGTGTCAGGGCAGGAAATTACACATGTAAGAACCAGGATCACAGGAGAGATACTGACAAGGTTATAGGGATCCAGTGTCAAGGCAGAAGTTCAGACATGTTATGGGTCAAGGAATTTCTCCCAACAGTTCCATGTTCTCCTATACACTGAATACTTAGGACACAAGATACTTCACTCTCATTTTCCTATAAGGCAATGTGATAGACAGAACAATGCCCCGCCTCAAGGTGTCTGTGTCCTAACCCCCAGGACCTGAGGATATGTCATCTTATATGATTTTAAAAATGTTTTAAAAACAAAGAGAGCGAGAGTATGGGAAAGGAAGGAAGCAAGGAAAGAAGAGAGGGAGGTAGGGAGGGAAAAGAGAGAAAAAGAAAAAGAGAGAGAGAAAGGAAGGAAGGAAGGAAGAGAAAAATGAAGGAAGGAAGGAAGGAAAGAAGAAAAGAAAGAAAGGGGCTGTGATAAAGGCTAAGGACTTTGAGATAGGGAGTGTCATGACTACCCAAGGAGGACCCAATCTAGCAAAAGAGAAAACTTGAAGAGCTGGTCAGGGCAATGTGACATCAGAAGGATTGATCTGTCATTGCTAGCTTTTATAACGGAGACAGATGGCCACAAGCCAAGGAATGTGATTGTATCTAGAAGCTGAGAATGGTCCTCAGAAGACAGCCAACAAGAAAAATGGGGACCTCGGTTCCTCTTCTACCACCAGAAACTGAATTCTGCCAACAACCTAAGTGAGCAGGAAATGGATTCACTTTATAGTGTCCCTAAAGGAACCCAACCTATCAACATTTGATTTTAGTCCAATGATGCCTATATAGTTCTTTAAGTTTGCAAACTGCAAAATAATAAATTTGTATTATTTTAAGCTACAATTTTTTGGCAATATGCTATAGCAGCAAATAAACTGATAGACTTTGGCACCTGATAGACAGGTACTGCTATAATAACCATCTAAAAATGTAGAAGTAGCTCTGGCATTGGGAGATGATGGGCTGATGATACTAGATTTTTAAGAAACAATATAGGAAACACCCAGACTTCCTGAAATAATTTCTAGAAGAAATATACACATTAAAGATCATGCGAGGCTGGGAATGTGGCTTAGTGGTAAAGTGCTTGCCTAGCATGCATGAAGCCCTGAGTTTGATTCCTCAGTACCATATAAACAGAAAAAGCCAGAAGTAGTGCTGTGGATCAAGCGATAGAGTGCTAGCCTTGAGCAAAAGATGCTCAGGGTCAGTGCCCAGGCCCTGAGTTCAAGCCCCACGACTGGCAAAAAAGAAAAAGGAAAAAAAGATCATGTGAGATATAGTTTAGAAGGAACACTATTGAGAAACACAAGTACATTCCACTTTTGGGAAAAGACAGGGAAGATAAAAAGGCAGCTATAATACCTGAGAATCCATTTCAATCAGGTAAAGGAAGACTACATCTTCTCTCTCCACTTTGATAGCCTTATGTAATGGGTATTCTGTCTTAGACTTGATCATTTTGTATAACAGCTGAGCACTCATGCTACTAAAATCCTCCTTTCGCAAGTCATCCTAGGATTAAAAACACAATGGGAAACAAAACAAACAATTCATTAATAATAACAACTGTCAACTATTAAATAGTCACTGAGTTGGAATAATTTGTGGAGGGGAAGGAGAAAAACAAATCGTTTAAATAGGAATACAGGTGGACCCACTGCAACAAAGAGATATACAAGTTGTTATGTCAAAAACTTTGTTATGTCCAACTTTGGTGGGGGGTGAAGGAGCGAGGAGAATTGGGTGGGGGGGCAGGGAGGGGAGGATGGGTAGGGATGGGAAGGGGATACAAAGGAGGAGGCTACAATGCTTGATAAGAAATGTACTCATTATCTTGCCCATGTAATTGTAATCCCTCTGTATAGTATTTTCACAATCAAAAAAGAGAATAAATAAATAAATAGTCACTGAGAATGTGCCTGGCTTACTCTAAGGGCTTAGACTTCCTAATTAATTCAATCCTCACAAAACTTATGAGGTAGGTCCTACAATGATCCCCACTGTTCAGATAAAGAAAGGAAAGCCTGTAGAAGCTAATAACTTATATTCAGACAGTGAGTAAATAGCCACATCAGAGTCTGGACCCAAGAGGAACCGCCTGAGCCTGCGCTGTCACAGCTGGGCTGCACCTCTGTGATTAGTACAGCTGGTATGAGCAATGCTGACCTCCAACAAGAGAGCAGAGTCCTCTTCCCAGTAAGCCTCAAAGACCATAGCAATTACAGAATTAAGCAAAACTACCACAAATAATCCACTCCACTAAATTATAGCTGGTCCCTAATATTTTAAATCTCATTTATTTCAACCTATTAGCAGAAAAAAGTTACCACTCCTATTTCAATTATTTCAACACTAGTTCTTTTTACTTTATTTTACTTGTTTATGTGGTAGCAAGGAAACGAACCCAGGGCCTCATGCATGCTAGGAAAGCACTCTACCACTGAGCCACATTCCCAACCAATCAACACTAGATCTTTTTTTGGGGGGAGCCAGTCGTGGGGCCTGAACTCTGGGCCTGGGCCTCAGCTCTTCAGTTCAAGGCTAAGCTTTACCTTCTGAGCTACAGCGCCACTTCTGGCTTTTTCTGGTTATGTGGTGCTGAGGAATCGAACCCAGGGTCTCATGCTTGCTTACAAGCAATCTACCACTGAGCCACCTTCCCAGCCCTTAAAACTAGTTCTTTTAGATAATTTTTAGAAACTACTAAGATCCTTCCCATAGTGTTGTTGTATACCAAGCAATCCAATCTGCTTAAATTAGTTTGTAACACATAGCGTTGATCTTTTTAAAAATTTCACAAAAAAACCCAAATATAACAAATATAGTTCTCTATAAATGAGAACTACTAAGAAAGGCGAGTCTAAATTTAATAATGCCTCCACCTGACATCAAGGAATGCTGGGGCACAGGGCATCCTGCCCCTGAGACTTGGCTGCAGCTTCCTCAGGAGAGCGAAGGCAAATGTCCCTCTGTGTAGTTCTGCTCTTGAACCTGAGTCACTTTGTCCTCTACTCTGAAATCATATAACTAACAGACTCTAGAACTGAAGAACCTCACTGATCACCTAATCTAACTACTTGTTCGTCAGTACTGTCACAAGAAGATGCCAGAAACCAGAAAGATGAGTGCTGACAGAACAAGGTTCCACACATGGGACTCTGCTGCCAGCAAGAGCACTGTCTATACACATCTCTCACTTACCCAATGACTTGCAATAATTTCTGCACAGTAGTTCATCAATGTGCTGGCATTCAGTTCTTCTGCAGTCTGATAGAAACGAATACAGTTCCTAACATTCACCAAAGACATAACACCTTTTTCACATCTATAAAAGAATATTAATAATAAACAGTATTATTAGGGTGATAAATGCATTCAGAAATAAACCAAAACTAATATGTGTACTGCTGGCTACATTCAATAACAATAAGGAATAAGGCTGATCAACATGCTTATGAATAAATTATAGCTGAGTTCCAATATTTTTAAAGTATCAGAATTTCAGCCAGGTGTTGGTAGCTCATGCCTGTAATCCTAGCTACTCTGGGAACTGAGATCTGGGGATCACAATAAGCCAGCCCAGGCAGAACAGTCCATGATACTTTTCACCTCCAATAACCAGCAAAATGTCAGAAATGGACCTATGGCTCACAGGGTAGAAATCCTGCCTTGGGAGAAAAGCTAAAGCAGAGCATCTAGACCCTGAATTCAAGCCCCAGAACCAGACAAAAAAAAAAAAAGTACTAGAAAAGTGGTGCTGTAGCTCAAGCATTAGAGCGCTCGCCTTGAGCTAAAGAGCTGAGGGACAGCGCTCAGGCCCAGAGTTCAAGCCCCACGACTGACAAACAAAACAAAGGGGCTGGGAAGGTGGCTCAGTGGTAGAGTGCTTGCCTTGCATGCATGAGGCCCTGGGTTCGATTCCTCAGCACCACATAAGCAAAAAGAAAAAAGC